TAGAGCACGCTGAGCAGTAGCTGCACCTGCACACAAGGGCCATGCACATATGAGCAAACTCCAGAGAACTGAAGTACATACACACAACGAATGGAAACCAAACCTCCATTTGCCTACCCGTCCGTACCACACACCATAGCCCCCTGGGGTGTCGTTGTTCAGGATTGAAATGTCGCACACTGGGCATGCCTGGGTCTTGAAAAGGGACTTAGCCAGGCCGCCACCACGGATGTAAGTGACGGTGTGAAGTGGGGCGTAGTAAAGACATCCCATACGCCTGATGACAACCTACAAGTGTGAAGTTCACATGCATAGCATAGTCAACAACTAGCTTAATTATCACTGCTAAACCTGCTAGTACTGTATCATTAACCTATGTAACCAGCGAGCCTACCTTGGCATGATCCAGATCCTGTGCAGACACCCCCCAGGCAGCCACCAGCTGCTCTGTAAGGCACTGCTGCAGGTACTTTGCACCCTCCATGCCCCAGGCTGCTTCATCTGTTTGCAAAAAAATGCAAGACATGCATACAGTGTGATGCCATTGGGTCAACATTTTGGGAAAATACAAGCTTGCATACACTGACCTTGCAGATTCTTAACCTTTTCCATGGCCTGTATCCAAGGAAGGCTGAGACCTGACCGGCCGATGGCATGTTTCTTGTCCCTGAGTACCTGTGCTCTCTGGTACACAGGTACGTTGATACGTGCAACGTGGGTTAGGCGTGTAGCGGCATATAAAATCTTAGATGGTTACAGCAACATCTGCAGCACATACATAGCTTCAAGCACACATACCAGGCGCGAAGCTTAAAGGCTAGCTTGGATGAATCACAGCTATAGTGGGAGGCTGGGCACGAGCTGCATTGCTGCTCTGAGGATGATGCAGCTGCAGCTACAGCAGGTTGCTCTTGTCTGCATTAGCCCAACTCTGCATGTGCTAGCTCCTCCTGCTTGGACGGAGTCTTATCTGCAGCTGCCTCTGCTTGCTGCTGCTCAGAAGCACTGCCACCACTGCCACCACCGATGCCACTATGGCTGTCACTGCTATTGCTGCTGTTGTCACGGGTGCTGCCGCTGCTGTGCCTGCTGCTGCTGCCACTGCTGCCATGGCTGCAGCTGTGTCTGTGGCTGCGGCTGCGGCTGCGGCTGTGGCTGTGGCTGCGGCTGCGGCTGCGGCTGCGGCTGTGCCTGTGCCGGTGGCTGCGGCTGCGGCTGCGGCTGTGCCTGTGCTGGTGGCTGCGGCTGCGGCTGCGGCTGTGGCTGCGGCTGTGGCTGCGGCTGCGGCTGCGGCTGTGGCTGCGGCTGCCACTGCCGCTTCCGCTTCCGCTGCTGCTGCTGCTGCTGCTGCCGTTGCCGCTGCCGCTGCAGCTGCTACTCACCAGGCCACCATCCATCGTGGCGCCCAGCTCAGCTGCAGGTCCACCATCCAAAGCCTGCTGCATACGCATCAGCAGGCAAAATCATGTCCATGGCATTGCTGTCATTGATATGGGCTAATGCATGTCACAAACATGACACTGTTGGTCAGTAAGAGTGTCATATATGGTGAGCACAGGCAAAAGTTGCTACTAAGGGACATGAGGTGCTACATCATATACATGGTCAGGTACTTTTTACAACCCTGCCTCTGGCATAGTCCTTGCATGCTTTTGTGGGGTATTGGTCCTCTGGCAATGCAATGGCCACCCACAGGGCCAGCTTCCCGACATGTATACCGTGAATGAAAATGTTGACTTCCATACCATGAGTCTGCTGCACTGACATTCTGTAGTATCCTGGGTGTATCAAGGGATAATTGTAAACACATCCATCACATGTACTCCTGTATGCCACTATAGCCTACCATGGTCCACACCTGCTTGTTCTCCCTGATGTACTGCAGGTATTCCACTGGGCCCAGGTAGTGACGCCCCATCCTGCAGGCAGCATCACAAATCACGGGGATCAATGCTCACCATGTATGGACAAGGAAAACGAAGTATGCTCAGGCACGACACAGTGACAGTGCAACATCCCTTACACAAGGTATGACAATGAATACACCTTACCCGCTTATTTACGGCCGCGCTGGCAGCGATTACGAATTGGCGACAGAATCAGAATGTGGCGAAGATGCTCGTCTTCAAGCTTGCCTGCTTCATTGCCTTCCTTCCTTCACATCCACGGGTGAAACTCGTCTTTCAAGGGCATCACGGTCTGGCACCAGTCGATGCGTCCCCAACAAGCATATATGATATGGAATTCAAAGATGGCAACGGCAAAGTAAGGACGCTGCTCGTGCCTATGATCATATAGGCTACTCCCTTTGAAATGTTGCCTGCAGGTCACTGTGCTGGGGCACCTGTTGGGCCTCACCAAGAAATCGGACCGAGAAAAATTTAACAGGCTTCTCCACGACGGCGGCAGATTGTACGTCCTCAACGAGATCCGCGGGTTGAATCTTCCCTCACAGGAAGCTGTGATTGAGGAGGCCTGGAAGGTGTCTCCCGTCACGGGCTTCATGACAGCAA